ATATATAGATATATAGATATATATAGATATATATAGATACAGCTAGGTATCATGGGAGACTTGAATCATGTCTCAGCTACACTTGAGTCACGGATACCAAATGAAAGAGAGGAAGCATTAGGTTTGCTACTTTCTTTTGTGGCATAATAAGTCTGCTGGCAATAAGAGAACTACCAGAAGGCTGGAAGACGGCCACTGTAGTACCGTGATACAGGGGAGACATGTGTATGTCACTGTACAACTGTGAAACTTCATACCATGCAAGGAATTGGAGAATATGGTGAGGTAGAAGGTGTTGGTGAGGATCGTGAGGGAGAAGGTGGAGGTGAGGATCGTGAGGAAGAAGGTAGAGGTGAGGGAGAAGATAGAGGTGAGGATCGTGAGGGAGAAGGTAGAGGTGAGGATCGTGAGGAAGAAGGTAGAGGTGAGGAAGAAGATAGAGGTGAGGATCGTGAGGGAGAAGGTAGAGGTGAGGATCGTGAGGAAGAAGGCAGAGGTGAGGAAGAAGGTAGAGGTGAGGATCGTGAGGAAGAAGGTAGAGGTGAGGGAGAAGATAGAGGTGAGGATCGTGAGGGAGAAGGTAGAGGTGAGGATCGTGAGGAAGAAGATAGAGGTGAGGATCGTGAGGGAGAAGGTAGAGGTGAGGATCGTGAGGAAGAAGGTAGAGGTGAGGATCGTGAGGGAGAAGGTAGAGGTGAGGATCGTGAGGGAGAAGGTAGAGGTGAGGATCGTGAGGGAGAAGATAGAGGTGAGGATCGTGAGGGAGAAGGTAGAGGTGAGGAAGAAGATAGAGGTGAGGATCGTGAGGGAGAAGGTAGAGGTGAGGAAGAAGATAGAGGTGAGGATCGTGAGGGAGAAGGTAGAGGTGAGGATCGTGAGGAAGAAGGTAGAGGTGAGGATCGTGAGGGAGAAGGTAGAGGTGAGGATCGTGAGGGAGAAGGTAGAGGTGAGGATCGTGAGGAAGAAGGTAGAGGTGAGGAAGAAGATAGAGGTGAGGATCGTGAGGGAGAAGATAGAGGTGAGGATCGTGAGGGAGAAGGTAGAGGTGAGGATCGTGAGGAAGAAGGTAGAGGTGAGGAAGAAGGCAGAGGTGAGGATCGTGAGGGAGAAGGTAGAGGTGAGGATCGTGAGGGAGAAGGTAGAGGTGAGGAAGAAGGCAGAGGTGAGGATCGTGAGGGAGAAGATAGAGGTGAGGATCGTGAGGGAGAAGGTAGAGGTGAGGATCGTGAGGGAGAAGGTAGAGGTGAGGATCGTGAGGAAGAAGGTAGAGGTGAGGAAGAAGGCAGAGGTGAGGATCGTGAGGGAGAAGGTAGAGGTGAGGATCGTGAGGAAGAAGGTAGAGGTGAGGATCGTGAGGGAGAAGGTAGAGGTGAGGATCGTGAGGAAGAAGGTAGAGGTGAGGATCGTGAGGGAGAAGGTGGAGGTGAGGATCGTGAGGAAGAAGGTAGAGGTGAGGAAGAAGGTAGAGGTGAGGATCGTGAGGGAGAAGGTAGAGGTGAGGATCGTGAGGAAGAAGGTAGAGGTGAGGAAGAAGGCAGAGGTGAGGATCGTGAGGAAGAAGGCAGAGGTGAGGATCGTGAGGGAGAAGATAGAGGTGAGGATCGTGAGGGAGAAGGTAGAGGTGAGGATCGTGAGGGAGAAGGTAGAGGTGAGGAAGAAGGTAGAGGTGAGGATCGTGAGGGAGAAGGTAGAGGTGAGGATCGTGAGGGAGAAGGTAGAGGTGAGGAAGAAGGTAGAGGTGAGGATCGTGAGGGAGAAGGTAGAGGTGAGGATCGTGAGGAAGAAGGTAGAGGTGAGGATCGTGAGGGAGAAGGTAGAGGTGAGGATCGTGAGGGAGAAGGTAGAGGTGAGGATCGTGAGGAAGAAGGTAGAGGTGAGGAAGAAGATAGAGGTGAGGATCGTGAGGGAGAAGATAGAGGTGAGGATCGTGAGGGAGAAGGTAGAGGTGAGGATCGTGAGGAAGAAGGTAGAGGTGAGGAAGAAGGCAGAGGTGAGGATCGTGAGGAAGAGTCCTTCTCTCATCAAGAGACGAGAGAGTAACTTACCATCAGCACCAACTCACGACAGTAAATCTTACCTCACAATCCTCATACAATTCGATGAAGCGTATTTCCTCATATTTAAACACTGAAATAGAGAAATGTGATTTTAATATGCAAAATATCAATCTGTTAATTAGTGAGTTATTGATTAACACAAAACTGGATTAGTTTAACATGTTTAATAAAGTGTATACGTAATGAATAACAGTGAGTTATAAGCAACCATTACTGAGTGGATGTTTGTCTTGCACGAGGATATCATGCACTGATATCTTGCAAGACGATTTCTGTTGCATTGCTTTCAGGATTAGCGGGATTACACTAAATTTCACTTCTACGGATATCTGGATTAGTTGGATTACACTGTATTTGTATCCCATTGTCATCCGGATTAACGAGATTGCACAGTATTTCCATTATAATGTCATCCGGATTACACTGTATAGCAGTATTTAATGATAATTATTACGTTTTCTTTTCCTTTCAGCAACTACATCATCCAAACTTAATTAATCTCATTGAAGTGTTCAGAAGGAAAAGAAAACTGCATCTGGTCTTCGAGTTCTGTGAGCGAACCGTCCTTAACGAACTGGAGAGTAACCCTAAAGGGTAAGTATATATATATATATATATATATATATATATATATATATATATATATATATATATATATATATATATATATATATATATGTATATATATATACATATATATATATATATATATATATATATATATATATATATATATATATATATATATATATATATATATATATATATATATATATCGTACCTAGTAGCCAGAACGCACTTCTCAGCCTACTATGCAAGGCCCGATTTGCCTAATAAGCCAAGTTTTCATGAATTAATGTTTTTTCGACTACCTAACCTACCTAACCTACCTAACCTAACCTAACCTAACTTTTTCGGCTACCTAACCTAACCTAACCTATAGAGATAGGTTAGGTTAGGTTAGGTAGGGTTGGTTAGGTTCGGTCATATATCTACGTTAATTTTATCTCCAATAAAAAAAAATTGACCTCATACATAATGATATGGGTAGCTTTATCATTTCATAAGAAAAAAATTAGAGAAAATATGATAATTCAGGAAAACTTGGTTATTAGGCAAATCGGGCCTTGCATAGTAGGCTGAGAAGTGCGTTCTGGCTACTAGGTACGACATATATATATATATATATATATATATATATATTATAATATATATATATATATATATATATATATATATATATATAGAGAGAGAGAGAGAGAGAGAGAGAGAGAGAGAGAGAGAGACACCTCAGGGACCTGAGGTGTCTCTTCACCCTCCAGATGGTAGAATATATTTGAGCATAATGGAAAATATTAAAAAGAAAATTAATAATAGTCACGATGCTGTTGTGTTTAATGACATGTGTGAATACATATATTCTGTACTCCATCAGTACAATAACGAACTTGCTTTTCTATGTCAACTTTACAATTTTCCCTGCGGCTGCCATACGGAAAGAGTGTACTGTATATCCTCTCCAGTTATTGCCTCACAAAATATAGCAAAGTATTCGGAATTTCATTATTTTTTGTGTATTCATCACAGGTTGCCAGATGAGAAGGTGAAGAGTATTATATACCAACTGGTTCAAGCCATCGGTTACTGCCATAAGCACAACTGTATACACAGGGACGTCAAGCCTGAGAACATCCTCATTACCAAGAGCGGAGTGGTTAAACTCTGTGACTTTGGCTTCGCCAGGATGTTAAGTGAGTTCAGCCTCCAATTTATCCACCCCCGGAGATATATATATGATTTGTTTACAGTGTAAGGTAGTATCATTGCTACACCAGCCACCGGTTGGAATCTGCCATAATCACATCATTATTGCATGGTACAACGATAAACTGAGAAATAATTGTATATTACAAAACATGAGAGGGTTTTAATAACTAATAAAATATTATTTTTAAATAATGCAAAAAGGAGCTTTATTTTGATGGCCGTCGTAAAATCTCAAACTAAAATATTTTTGCGTTCTAACGTGACAAAGGAAATGATGAGCACTCATGTCATAGGTGTAAGAACACTCATGTCATAGGTGTAAGAGCACTCATGTCATAGGTGTAAGAGCACTCATGTCATAGGTGTAAGAGCATTCATGTCATAGGTGTAAGAGCACTCATGTCATAGGTGTAAGAGCACTCATGTCATAGGTGTAAGAGCACTTATGTCATAGGTGTAAGAGCACTCCGTCTGTAACTGACTTGGCTCATAGACATGACTCACGCCACCTCACTCAAGTGACCTGAGTCAGCTGACGTGACCCACGGGACCTGAGTCACCTGACGTGACCCACGGGACCTGAGTCACCTGACGTGACCCAAGTGACCTGAGTCACCTGACGTGACTTAACGGATCTGAGTCAGGTCAGCTGACCTGGCTTAACTCATCTAATCAGCTGATCTGACATAAATGTAGAAAAGGATTTAATACATAAAAATCTTCTAACCTTCTCAAAATCTTTTCTTCCATAACATATTGCAAATTAAAAAATATTGTGTATACATCATCACCTCAAATGTAACAACTTACAAGCATTAAATATATTTTTAATTTTTATTGGTATTAATTTATTTACTAGTAATTATTTATTTCGTGTTAGTTTATAAATTTATTTAACTGTATTTTAATAATTTTTCATAGTTTCTGGTTATCTTATTGAGTTCTTGTGTGACAATCCGTATACCGTCTTGACAGATCCGGGAGTTAATGGTCGCCTTACCTCACCTTATTGTCGTTCTTGTGTGACAATCCGTATACCGTCTTGACAGATCCGGGAGACAACCTGACTGACTACGTCGCCACCAGGTGGTACCGCGCCCCGGAGCTCCTGGTGGGGGACACCCAGTACGGGACGCCGGTCGACGTCTGGGCCATTGGCTGTGTGTTCGCCGAACTGGCGAAGGGCGAGGCGCTCTGGCCTGGCAAGTCTGATGTGGATCAACTCTACCTAATTAGAAAATCACTAGGTAACGCCGTTTTTATACGATACATTTTATATATATATTTTTTTAGCACGTGTTTTGTGTAATTAACGAAGTGTAATTACCTAGGTGTGGTTACAGGATGAGAGCTACGCTCGTGGTGTCCCGTCTTCCCAGTACTCTTTGTCGTTTAACGCTTTGAAACTAATGACGGTTTTGGCCTCTACTACCTCGTGTGTGTGTGTGTGTGTGTGTGTGAATCTATCTCCCACAGGTTTTTTAATGTGTACTTGATCTAAATTATTATACAATATGTTCATTTATTCAGGCCTAATGAGTTTCATATGAGAATCAATAATAAAAATCATTAAAGTACAGGTCCTCGGAATAACATTTAAATAATAGCTGACACTGTTGCAAAAACAAAAAGTTTAATCCACAGATTGGAATGGATTTTGGTTTGCATAAATTTGCAATGTTGATGATATATTACCTATTAATTATTTTGTATCTAATTGAAATTGTAAATGAAGGGTTAATGTGTGATGAAGAGCAGGTGGGAGATGATATGATGATGATGGTGAAGGTGAACATGATGCTAATCATGGTGATGACTATGCTAGTGATGATGTTGATGGAGATGACAGGTGATATTGATAATAATATTACTGATCTTTATAGTGCGATTTAGTGTGGATTATATAATGAATGATTTTCTTCATAAATATATTACAAATATATTATCCCTTACTCCCTTGCAAGCATATACACCCCTCATTAAACCGCCAGTTAAACCACCTCATTAAACCACCCCATTAAACCACCCCATTAAAGTGAAAAGTGGGATAGTGTTAAGCCTTATGTACAGTTTATTCATGATATTCAGCTGGTTTAAACCATTATAGTTAATACTTAAATTATTGGTTCTGAAATATATAGAGATTATTATATAAATAATAATTATTATGGGATAATAACCAAAATCAGATTATACTTCAGGAGTAAAAGGTTCTATGTCGTGCTCTTTGTTTATATTTAAATATAATTTAAATTGTTTAGCTTCTTTAAATGTAACTTTTCTACCAGGTGATCTTCTTCCGGACCACATGAGGATATTCAAGGATAACGAGTTTTTCCGGGGCTTGAATATACCTGAACCAGACACATTAGAATCTATCGAGGCCAAAATGCAAAAGTCATTCTCTCGAGAAGGCTTGGACCTTCTTAAGGTACTGTAATGAGTCATTCAGGAAATTCTGTTCGATTTCAGAACTTTTTTTTATTATGATGTTACACGTCTACTTGTATTGTAACTTGTTGGATATAATGTAACCTACTTTGTGATGTATAAATATGAAGGAGAGACAGACACAGGTAACTTGCGCATCTTCCCAGCTTAGCACACTCGGAGTGCTGAGAGGGACAGACACAGACAGACATAGACAGACCGACCCAGGCAATGCCGGGTACTCCCCCTCCCATAGGTAATCTTGGCCTTTAAAAGAAAGTGTCAATATGTCTGTCCCAAGGTTGGAGGCCAGACGCCTATAGTTAGCGTCACACAATGTTCCATGGTGAGTTATGATTGTACATGGAATGTTATAGGTAAGTCGGGGTCGACCTGCTTGTCGCTCCTTAACCAGAATTAGCTTCTTTTGCGACAAGCAACGACTCTTATGAAGTAAAATGCGGGTTTGGTATTCCCAAGAGTTTTCCACCAGTTTTCAACTGTTAACCCAACCCTTGATGCCTCCCCCATACCCCTCTCATTTCCCAGTTCCCTTCCCCCCCCCCTCTTCCCCTTTAAGCCATACAACTTAACCACAACATTGTTACAATGTTGTATCAAAATGACAACCACAACTTATCAGGGGTATGGAGGGGAGTTGGGAGAGGTTCCTTTATATCTACAATGAAACTTGGTTAATAGAACCAACCTGATATTCACTTACCATCGAACAGAGGTCCCCAAACACTCCATGACAGAATGAACAGCCGACGTCGGCAGCCACACTCCCGCTACCATCGGTCGACCAGCAATGAACACTGGAGTGCTTGCAATTATTTAGGAGATCACCCTGGTTAAGCGTCTGGTTCTGGGAGAGGGGTTCAGCGTCACCTGTATTCAGGTGTACGGCTCATACTGCCTAGTTGTCATGTGTACACACCCGCTCTTGAGCCGCCGTGACTCCCCGCACTCTCCTTACTTTGGGATGATCTCTCAATCCCCCTTAGTTATAGTCCACTATCACCCAAGTTATAGCCCTCTCTCTCTCTCTCTCTCTCTCTCTCTCTCTCTCTCTCTCTCTCTCTCTCTCTCTCTCTCTCTCTCTCTCTCTCTCTCTCTCTCTCTCTCTCTCTCTCTCTCTCTCTCTCTCTCTCTCTCTCTCTCTCTCTCTCTCTCTCTCTCTCTCTCTCTCTCTAGCCAGGAAGCCTCACCAGGACAAGAGCAATAACCAGCTAACAAACAAAATATTAAATACATTTAAAAATACACAATACGCATAAAGGAAATGATTATAAAACAATACTATCACCTCTTTGGCTACTACCAACTGATAACATTCTAATGTCACCTTATGTCTACAACCTATAGCTACACCAGGCTGCTGCTTGAACTTCAGTCCAGAGACTTCTGCTTCCTTCACTGCTTTAGGCTGCATAACATGACACATATAATATTCATATATTTCCTACTCCACAAAGGCATCAATCTCTCACCTTGCACTGCGCCTTTCACGCCAAAAACACAATCAAGCACTCCCTTAGATATCGAGGTCCTTATGATCCTCTATTCCGTTAATCAAGGTCCCCTACTCCAATCATCATCTGGGTCCTCAAAATATGTAAGGCACACCTGCAGCACCACCAATCAGTTGCAATGAAGTCCTCTTTAAATGTCAGTGACGCTCAAACACAAACACAAGATCAAACACTGGTAACCACTAAAACAACTCTTATATTAGCTTACCACAGAATTCTCTGGCACAAGGACACTCAGGTCCTGGTCCTCAACAACGGTGCCCCACACAGGCTGTCCACAAAATCGCTATAGGACTGCCTCACAAGGCTTCTTCTAGTCCTGACTTGATTACTTTAAGTCGTACAACAGGCTTCACACATCAACGCCTGCTTGGTTCCCTCCTCTTGAAGGAGCACACAGTTAGGGCGTTCCTCCTCTGCCAAGAGCTTAACATAATACAACCCTCTCTCACGACTTCTGCTGCTCAAGTAAGGTCAAGACGTCCCGCGACCCTCACATCATGTCAGCAAAGTATCGACATCTCATTTCATGTCACTTATTTACATGCTTATCCTTTGCTCATACTTTTAAACTATTCACTGGCATTTATCATGTATTTAGTATATATTCATATATCTATATTTCTTCTGATCTCTCAATCAGGTCCGGTAGGCGGAATAACTCTCAGACAGGTAGACTCGTTCTTCAGGCTACCTGGAGTCATAACAGTTGTCACAAAGTTGTATCAAAATAACAACAGTAAAATAACGGTGTGTGTTTACTGGGCGTCTATACTGCATGTTCTAAAAGATTGAGAAAACAAGAGGGAGAGAACAGAAGGGAAGAAGAGAGAATGTGTGAGAACAAGAATGGGAGAGAGAGAGAGAGAGAGAGAGAGAGAGAGAGAGAGAGAGAGAGAGAGAGAGAGAGAGAGAGAGAGAGAGAGAGAGAGAGAGAGAGAGAGAGAGACCCCGGCACTGCTAGGTACCCAATGTGGTTTTGCATAAACAGTTGTACATGTATAATTAACCTAATTTACCAAATCTAAATTTATTATTCATTAATACAATTAAAAGGTAATTATAAAACCTTAATAGTGATCATCATAATTATGCATTATATATCACAAGACAATGCCCATCATGACATGATAATGAATACATGAAAAATAGAATGCCAGCAAAATTTATTGTTTAAATTAAGCAACATTAATAGACACATTATTACAGAAAGAGAAGACATGGCGGTAATCTAAAGCACTCAAGTTGGGATGTGTGGGAGGTTTTTTAGTTAATAAATATTAATAATAATAATTGTGTCGGGGGACAGGCACCCAGAGTGTAGAATAAAAATAATCGTCATGATCATTGTATTTGCTAAAACATTGGTTGATTTTACTGATATTGATTCTTACTTGATGTGATATTTTTGAAGAGCGAAGAACAATGTCCAGGAACATCCAGGTGTTTTGGTTTGCAGTTAAAAGTATAATATTTAGGCAATATTTTGAGTAGGCTTTGTCAATAAAATCTAACTACTGAACAATGAGTTATAAACAAATCAAGGCAGCTAATATATCAAATTTGAGGGTCCAGCCACTACATAAAAAAAAATTACCTTACCAAAAACGTTGGAATCAAAGCAACCTCCTCAACCTATCGACGACGATGCACAGAAAAGGTTAATATTACGGTGTTTAAAGTTTTACAAATGTAATGCATTTTTAACGGATTGGTCGATTCAGTTAAAAATGTGAGGTAAAGGTGAGAGAATGGGTGGGAGGGTAGACTTAACATTACAGCTCTCGCAGTCAGCTGATGTGTGTGTGTAGTATGTTGCTACTTGCTCTTGCAAGAGTGCTGTGGGACGTGTTGCACGTGTCAACATGTGGCCATTAGTACTTATAGTTAGTTTATGTTGCTACATAGTCTTCCCGGCATGGTGCCTTCTTTTGGTAATTAATTACTAATGCCTAATTTGAGAATTTAACTCGACTTGTATCTCTCGCTGCCTCGAGATCTATCTCACTCTGCCTCGAGATCTATCTCACTCTGACTCGAGATCTATCTCACACTAATTTGAGATCTGTCGCACTCTGATGCTGTCTCATTGGGAAACAATTCTTTCAGAAATGTTTAGATCGAGACCCAGCTAAGAGATGGACCTGCGATCAGCTGCTGGGACACGACTACTTCAAGGGCTTCACCTACAAACTACCAGAAGAAGATCAGCTGGAGCACGACAGATTAAAGGTCAGAGCATAATTTACAATCACCTCTTAGCCAGACTTACGTACTTTACTTCATTCGTGCGTTTGGCTGTGATGTTGTGCTCAGTTATGCCGGATTTGCAATATGCCCACTGTCTCTGAAGGAGGTGGGGTGTGAAAAGTGTCCTCTTTCTTTGGGATAAGTTTCTTAAGCTAGATTTTGAACTCTTTTGGCACAACTGTAGCACTGCTTGGGGTCTGGCACTGCATGGGGTCCGGCTCAAGTTGAGGGTCGAACATGGGATGGGATCTTCCACAGAGTTGGGGTCATAGATAATATTACAAACTTTAAGGTTCTAAACCAGTGGCTATGAAACAGAACCAGATATAACCCAGTAATTGGTGCCATTGAAAGGGATTATGAAATTCATGTGTTGTAGACCTTTGATCTACAACATTTGAATTTCATGTCTATTGTAGACCTACACATATGAATATGGATTCTGTTCCCCTTTTCAGTTTTTTTAATTTCTCACAATTGTGTTCTTTTGCTTTGTTATAACACTATAATTTAAAACATGAACAATAGTTATAGTGCATGCTATGCATGCATGACAAATTATTATAATAATATATATATAGCCCTTCGTCACTTAATGTTTAAATATCTGAAATTGTTTCATCTGTGTTTCCTGTCCAGCTTGGAGCTCCTATAGTTTGTCGTGTTTTTGAATGATCTGTCATATGGGTAATGAAGCAGTTGATTTGATAATTGCACTAATCACAATATGAAAGTCTTCTGCTGCTTCTGTGTTTAACACATCAGAAGCTGCATTTCAAAATATGATACTTACCATACTACTTTATTCAGCAGGTTTCACATCTTAAGGCTCTGGATATGTGTTCTATTAGAATATATAAATTCCTAAGTTCCTACTTTCTAAGTCCCTACTTTAGTTCACTCCTTTCATTCATCTTTTGGGTAGGCAGTGTTCTCATGGTGAGAGAGGATATCGTGAATATTATTCACGATATTATTATGATATTATTCACCTATATTAAGCTTATCATGCCATTCTAACACTATTGTAAATGGCTCAATTGTGGTAACTGTTGTGACAGATGTCGCCTTCGAAAAAAAATTTGTATTATTTGATTCTGAGAACAAATTACCACAAAAACAGAAGTTTTTACAATAAACTTTTTTGACAAATGAGGAGTTATTATTGTTTGTTAGTTGAAATTTCATTGGTTAACATGTTCCTTGTTATCATTAAAGACTCAGAAGAACAAATAGAGTATACATTATTTTTCATTTTAACATTTCATAAAACTTTTATAACATCTTTTGTAGGACCTTAAGTAATAAATCTGATAAATAACCCAACTAACGCTTATGAGAGTCATGACGTTTCAGTCTGTCCTGGACCCCTTAGTTATCAAGTCACAACCTATCTTACCAGGTCCAGGATGGCTGAAATGCTGCCACTTTCCTCCCTTTTTCACATGTGTTGGGTATTTATTTCCATCCAAGTTATTGTGATTTATTCACTATTATAATCCTAATAAAGGTATGCATGCATTTGTTTTGAAGACTTTGCAGAAATAATAGAAATATAATTTTAACATTGTTAACGTCAAGCAATGGTTTTACTTCCTTGCAGAACCCGAGTGTATCTGGATCAATGTTGCTTCCTCAGTTAGCCAGCACTCCTGTAGGCGCAGGATCCGTCTCAACTTCTTCCTCGCCTGAAATACGTCAACCAGTTCTTCGCGGCGCACGGAACTTCGATCACCTTCCTACCATCTGACAAAATGGCCTCGGAGTCCATCGCCCGCCTGTATTACCACCAAATATGGTGCCCTCACCTACCCCTCCCCCAGGCCATGCCTCGAAGGTTCCAAATGGCACAGGTCCTCGAAGGGCTTCGAAGTCGACAGTAAGTCCTGCTGCTGGGAGTCGACAGCCACCGCCTGTTTTAGACAAGGGTGATTTGTACTCCATGTTGTATCGCAAGTATAACTCCTCTTAGCTCTACCAATTTAAATTTGTATAGTCTGCACTAAGGACTAAACACCCATTATGTTCAGTCTATGAGCCAAAGATCACCATGTGTTAGACAAATTGCTTCTCATGATAACAGTAGGCAAAATGGGGAACTATAAACTACAAAATAAAACACTTAGAATTGTGTAAACACTATTTACAATATTAGGATGCCATTAGTTAGTCACCATTATTTGATGATAAGTTACAAATATTTTATTGTTATCATTTGTGTACATAAACTTTGCTGTTAAAATCTGTGATCTGAGGGCGTGTTCGCTTCTCATAGCTTAGGGAAGTACCTGTACCTAAACTATCCATTACTTCATTCTAGTTTATATATATATATATATATATATATATATATATATATATATATATATATATATATATATATATATATATATATATATATATAAACATCTACCTAATAGCCAGAGCTCCAGAGCTGCCTAACAAGCTTAATTTTCTTAAATATCTAACTTTAACAAACGTTCTCTTCCAAAATTATAGTTTTCATTATAATATACATACAGTACTAAGATATTTTTTTAATATGAACAAAACTTACTACGAAATCTGACCTAACCTAAATATGCTAATTATTTATCAGTATTACCTAACAGGTAAAACCCAGACCTAATTAAGTTAGAAATTCATGTTGTCAATGCAATATTTTAATATTATTAATAATAAACAATTTGTGAAGGAAGAATGTTTAAAATATGGAAAATCACTCTGGCTTTTGGACAAAACAGGTCTTGCCTACTACGTCTCGTAATGCATATCTGGCTATTACGTACAACATGTAAGAAGTGATGATAAAAACTCCTAGATCCAAAAATCACAGCTGAAGTAGGCCTCTCTTTCAAACTAAAATATTCAAAATTTCAATTGTGTTTTTTGGACCTGTAAGCCAGGTTATGACATTGACCAGTGCGCCATTGTGCTTTTGCTCCGATATATATATATATATATATATATATATATATATATATATATATATATATATATATATATATATATATATATATATATATATATATATATATATAAGTATATAAGTATGTATGTGCATATGCATGTGACCTGTATGTATATCTAAGTATGTGTGTGTATATTTGTATGTATGTTCAGTACATATTTACCTGAATTTATCTGAAGGTCACATTCTCTAGTGGCCTCAACGTGGGTAGTAAGATTGTGGCAATTTACATTATATTCCAAATTATAACTTTCAACTTATTGAAGTATGCTATTTGGTTATAATTTGTCAATGATTTTAATTTAAAATGTTAATGAATTTTGACGTCAAATGATGTAACAATACTGTATTAATTAGATTATTAATGGTCAGATATATATAATGTATCATTATTTTCCACCATATATATAATTATTTGTATATATACTGTATAATGATATAATTACTGTATATGTATATAATTATACACAATTAAACATAATTATATAATTATATAAATCAAAAGGTTTTGGCTTGATGTGACTTACCCTTGTTTTACAAATACATTAATACAAGATTATTTTTTCTAAATAAAACACATGGTTCCTGTATCCTCTTACAAAATTCTACTGTATCCCACAAGATACAATGTCTAAGCAATACTTTTTTTTTATTTTATTTTAGTGCGTGATCCGTTCTCTCTGAGAACATTATGTAAAATAATGATTTTTTTTTTGTTTAATTGATTGGCTGTTACCATGAAGGACCTGTCCAACCTGTTCAGAAATCATTGATGAAAAGGGATGTAATGACAATTACAGGTACAAAATGAGAACGTCACTGACGGTACAGTGGGTGGATGTCAGAGACCCAGATGCTTCAATAGGTGGAGAAGAAGATGGTAAGACACTTAAACAAAATATCTGTACGCTAAGGAAAATAATAATTTTCTCAATGTACACTAATGAAATACAAATTTTGTCCAGCCTTCTTTTGATATATAGTTTTAACTGCTGAAATTTTGAGTCAATTTTTTGTTTTATTTAAATGTATTACGAATGGTAAAAGAACGACTGAACTGTACAATTTGTAAGATAGTGATTTATTTAGTGATTGTTAAATAGTCACTAAATATCCTAAAATCTGCTTTAAAGGAAGATCTACGAGTGTATGGAGCACTTTATATAGATAACTCACTCAAGTGGCACTCGAGCAGATGTTACTAAATTGCTTTGTGTTTGTGTGTGTGTGTATCTTAAGTTATGTATCAATTTCAGGAATGTTATTTAGAATTTTCAGTCTCTGGAGGGTATTAAGGCCTAGCAAACTTCGGAGGGTTATTAAGGCCTATTAACCTCTTGAGGGTATTAAGGCCTAGCAACCTCTGGAGGGTTATTAAGGCATATCAACTTCAGAAAGATTATTAAGGCCTATCAACCTCTGGAGGGTTATTAAGGCATATCGACCTCTGAAAGGTTATTGAGGTCGTCACAAGAACCTGCTGAACAGTCAATAAGTGTACGTTTCAGTCCTGAACTGTGTCTAGGTGAAAGTAAACTTTGTGTGTATACACCAACGAGTTGAGTAGACCTCACTGTGTACATATATCCCTTGCTGCTAAATAATATTTATTACAGTAGATATATATCTATACATATACTTATAATTTTATACATATTATGTACGTATTGACAGAGACTAGTTATATAGGAATCTATTGCAGCAAACTTCCACACTGTGTATTTTTCTAGTTTACAGCTTAACATTTATGGTAATTAATTTTGTTAATAAAGATACTGATAATAATTAATTACTTAATTGAAGGAAGTCATTTATGATACATTTATTTTGGCTGTTATTTATAATTTATGTGTTTGTATTCAAGAGTGTGTGTGTGTGTGTGTAAATATGTGTAGAAAATAAATACTTAATTAGCAATTTTCAGTGTTATAATTACAACCTGAAAAACGTAGTGATAAAATTGCAGTTTGCCAAGAGCATACCTGGAGGGGGTTTCAGGAGTTATGCAACTCCCCGAGCAGGGCTTGGGGCCTGGCTCGAAGTTTGTAATATCTGTCTAATGCCTATGTATTAATGCAATATTAATACAATATTAATTCAAGATGCTCGATATGCATCACACATAGCACACTCATCCCACATACTCAACACACTCAACACTCAATACACAACACAAGGGGGGGGGATCAGCTGCAACATTGCAGCCAAGTAACAACATAGACAGGTCTTATGAACCATCATCTTCCTTACAGTCTGTGAAACAATGTGATCCCAGTTGCTACTTTTAAAAACTTAAATTCAGTATTTATGTACTTCCACCTGCAAATATAACTATCAGCATCTTATGATTTTAAACAATTTATCCATTAAGTTATTTATCATATACAGTATTATGCTGCTGTCATGGACAGCAAGCCTGTAATATGGACTTATCAAGGTCCCTCTCGAGCAAGGGTTCTTAACCAGAGGGGTATCCATATTCCTTGGGGTGATTGGCACAAATACTGGTTGAAGGGGTTATGGGGGCATTGGGGTAAACTATACAGGTGTGGGGATGTATTGGGTAATCCACTGGGGTCTGTAAACGTAAAAACGTTAAGAATCCTTGCTCTAGAGTCTAGGGCAAATACTTTCCTTTCCCAGGATGCAAACTGCAACAGTTAATTCCCGGGTACCAATTTTACTAATAGATGAACAAAAGCATTAGGTGAATGGAAACTTGCCTAACCGTTACTGTCCTGTCCGGTGACTGAACCCTGGACCATCGGCTGTGAGGCGAAGACGTAGCCCACTGTGCTACAGGACCTCCAATGAAGCAGCTTCACGGGGGAAAGTGGATGATATTTTCTCTGTCTGGGGACCAAGGTCGCGCGGGCGAATCCACTAAGACGTGCACGGGTCCAGTACGTCCCCAAGCTTGTAAACACGAGCTCTAAAATAATGTTGGGATCAATTAGTTAACCGATTGTACATAATTAACGTATCCGGATGGTTATTGTAGGAGTTAAAATGATTACTATGTTCTTAAGCATACAAACATGTTAGGATGTCGCCATATAGACACTTTCCCCACTTTCACCTGGTGAAAGGAAATGTGGGTTAGTGGTTCAGAGCAGCTCACTTTCCCTCAGCCGATGGTAGACTGTAAACTAGGGCAGTCTCCCCCTTCATGGGAAGTGTGGCAAGCGGCGGCCCTCAGTACAGAGAACGCCAACGGTGAAACGAGAGACTGGAACACATGCAGGTTGGAAAGTCAGATCTCTGCACCTCCGTATAGGGAAAGCACACGGCCAGACGGGGCATTGGAGCACGTGACGGGAGAAAGTAGGTTCTCTGCATCGCTCAAGTGGGTGACAGCGATCTGGAAACTTGGGGTCCAGGCTTTATCTAGGATCCAGTGGTAAGATCACTTGGCAGTAGAACAGTCACTTTCCCCGACAAGTCTGACCGCTAAGTATGCGTTCTCGGGAGACGTGACTTTGGAGAGAAAGGAGGAAGGGAATTGTCAGGGGGGGGGGGGCGGAAGCGCCAAGCCATTACGACTATATAGCACCGGGAAGGGGGTCAGGATAATGATTTGGGATGGGAGGCGAGGAATGGTGCCCAACCACTTGGACAGTCGGGGATTGAACGCCGACCTGCATAAAGCGAGACCGTTGCTCTACCGTCCAGCCCAAGTGGGTGGACGACGTTGGAGAGTCATTCCTCTAGATGTCTGCCTACTACAACAGCTTCTACCACCTTGACAGATATTGCAACTTTACACTTGTGGTTATACTGATAACACTTCACAGTAATGTTCAGGGCTAAAGTCTAATTGCTGGCTTGTTAGTAGGTTCTATCATCCTCTGGAGGGTTATTAAGGTCTTTCAACTTCTGGAGAGTTATTTTATGTCTATCAACCCCTAGAGAATTTTTAAGGTCTTGCAACCCCTGGAAAGGTCTATCAACCACTGAAGGGTTGATAATGTCTATCAACCTCTGGAGGGCTATTAAGGTCTATTAACCTCTGGAGGGTTATTAAGGCCTAACAACCTCTGGAGGGTTATTCAGGTCTATCAACCTCTGGAGAGTTTTTAAGGTCTATCCTCTGGAGGGTTATATTAAGGCCTCTCAACCTCTGAAGGGTTATTAAGATCTATCAACCTTTCAAGGGTTATTAAGGTCTATCAACTTATCAAGGGTTATTAAAGTCTATCAAGCTCTGGAGGGTTATTAAGGTCAATAAACCTCTGGAGGGTTATATTAAGGTCTATCAACCTCTGGGGAGTTTTTAAGGTCTCTCAACCTCTGGAGGGTTATTAAGGTCTATTAATAACGAAACGTTGTGTTAGTGGCTCTACAAGAATATAAAAACATCAATGCTATGTACTCTCATAAACCTAATGTACCTTCTTGTGTGTATATATATATATATATATATATATATATATATATATATATATATATATATGTCGTACCTAGTAGCCAGAACTCACTTCTCAGCCTACTATTCAAGGCCCAATTTGCCTAATAAGCCAAGTTTTCCTGAATTAATATATTTACTAAAACTTTTTTCTTATGAAATGATAAAGCAACCCTTTTCTCTATGTATGAGGTCAATTTTTTTTATTGGAGTTAAAATTAACGTAGATATATGACCGAACCTAACCAACCCTACCTAACCTAACCTAACCTATATTTATAGGTAAGGTTAGGTTAGGTAGCCAAAAAAAGCTAGGTTAGGTTAGGTTAGGTAGGTTAGGTAGACGAAAAAACATTAATTCATGAAAACTTGGCTTATTAGGCAAATCGGGCCTTGAATAGTAGGCTGAGAAGTGCGTTCTGGCTATTAGGTACGACATATATATATATATATATATATATATGTTGTACCTAGTAGCCAGAACGTCGTACTCGGCCTGCTATGCAAGGCCCGATTTGCCTAATGAGCCAAGTTTTCCTGAATTAATATATTTTCTCTAATTTTTTTCTTATGAAATGATAAAGCTACGCATTTCATTATGTATGAGGTCAATTTTTTTTTATTGGAGTTAAAATTAACGTAGATATATGACCGAACCTAACCAACCCTACCTAACCTAACCTAACCTATCTTTATAGGTTAGGTTCGGTTAGGTAGCCGAAAAAGTTAGGTTAGGTTAGGTTAGGTAGGTTAGATAGTCGAAAAACAATTAATTCATGAAAACTTGGCTTATTAGGCAAATCGGGCCTTGCATAGTAGGCTGAGAATTGCGTTCTGGCTACTAGGTACGACATATATATATATATATATATATATATATATATATATATATATATATATATATATATATATATATATATATATATATATATATATATATATATATATATATATATATATATATATATATATATATATATATAGCCTGAGAGATTCAGCAGGAATACACGATCCTGCTTTCACTGAATGTTCAAATCAGTGGGATGTTCTTGCAGCCCCAGAAACCATTATAGAGCCAACAAAACAACACAAACAGTCCGGCTGGGACCACCCTCTAGTGGAAAAAGTAGCTGATGCCATGCTAAGCGTCGCAACATCAGACAAGGAGAAAGCCCGCCTCAGAGCAGTGCGTGCCCCCCATGCAGGAGACTTCCTCCTGGCAGTACCCATGTCTGCAATGGGCACGCGCCTAGATCCAGAATCCCTTCGTGTAGCAGTGGCCCTCCGCCTTGGTGCCCCAATTCACACTGAATACAAGTGTATTTGCAACAGGGTGGAAGCAGACCAATACGGACTGCATGGGTTGCATTGCGGAAGCACAAAGGGCTGGCATGCAAGACACAGCGAGGTCAATGACATCATCAAGAGAAGCCTCGTCTCAGCTGGGTGCCCAGCGGAGAGAGAACCTCGCATCCTAGGGGTCCAAAACCCGGATTTCCCAGCACTTCGCCCTGATGGCATCACCATATACTCATGGAAGGAGGGTAGACAGTTGGTGTGGGACTACACATGTGTATCCACCCTGGCCGACACCTATGTACACTTCGGAGCTGATCAAGCAGGTGGGGCGGCCAACCACAGGGAAACAGCAAAATCACTCAAGTACAGGCGACTGGAAGGTCAATACCTCTTTGTTCCCATAGCGTCTGAGACGCATGGCCCCTGGGGCAAGAGTGCCTTGGGATTTCTCAAGGAATTGGGGTCCAAGCTCATTGACGTCACCAGAGACCCAAGGGCTTCCAGTTTTTTATTTCAGCGTCTCAGTGTGGCGATCCAGAGGGGAAATGCTTGCTGCGTCCTCGGTTCCTGTCCAGAAGCGCAGGAGCTTCAAGAGATCCATAACCTTTAGGCATTTGTCTTGTATGTTTTGTAACCTTTAAATACACAATAAAGGAAAAAAAAAAAGGGAAGGGGGTGGTAGGAGAAAAGCACACAGAAACTGTATTGGAGGGGACCCACATTCCCTCCAATGCGTTATGTGTGGTTTCCTTCCCTATTAAAAAAAAAAAAAAAAAAAAAAAATATATATATATATATATATATATATATATATATATATATATATATATATATATATATATATATATATATATATATATATATATATATATATATATATATATATATATATATATTGACCTCTGAAGGGTTTTTAATGCTATCGACCTCTAGATTGTTATTAAGGCCACCACAATAGCCTATGGCCAACCAGCTGGTACACATTAGCCCTTTATACCGGTGTCCTTTATACACCGAGACACTAGGTACCTCTTAGCCTTGTAACTTATTAAACTAATTAATTATAATTATCCACTGTTGTAAGTCTGTTAATATTACCTTTCTTTGTATACAAAATAATATAATAATTTTGGTTAACTTTGTCAATTATAAATTCGCAACTATTTCATGCGTTTAAAATTTGTTTTTACTAATGCAAACAGTCGTTCATTTAAGAATAAAGAATTTCAGTATTAATAGTTGGTCTTCATCAGTTCACCCAAGATTTCCTGACCAGTATGTTCATAGAAAATAGTTTTACTATAACTTTACAGAAAACGACAAATTTTTAGTAGAAGAGGTACACTTTTATATAAAGTAAAACGTGAAATGATTCCAATAGTTTATTTTATTTATTTATTTATTTATATATATACAAGAAGGTACATTGGGTTTGTGAGAATACATTGGATAGTACAGTATTTACACTCTTGTAAAGCCACTAGTACGCGTAGCGTTTCGGGCAGTCTCACCTGAGTTTTCCTGACGGCTACCATCTCTCTAGTGGCCTCGACAAGAATAGAAATCCGTCGGCTTTCAAAGGTTTCCATTTTCCTGATAACTTTTTTTCGGATTGATTTCGAAATACAATAATGTCTTGGCATTTACTGCTTCAGCCGGTAGGCGGCTTCATGAGTTTATAACCCTATGGGGTGAAAAAAGTATCTCCAGTTGTTTTTTCTGTCCTATATTGTGACATGTTGAGGTAGAAGCAGTTGCCCGTCGTATGTGTTGCATGTGGTCTTTTAAAAAAAGTAGTCTGAATGATTTAATATCCTCCAACTTGTTCAGTATTTTCAGTTTCGATGAGATCCGCCCTGTCATGCCTGGTCTGTAGAACAGAGTTAGTCTTGTGGCCCTCAACCGTTCCTGAGGTGAGAGTCGAATTAGTTCAGGGATGATTTTTGTCGCCCGGTGTTGAACTTTTGTCTGAAGCAGATATGTCCTCCTGAAGATAAGGTCCCCTTGCCTGAATACAGTAGTCTAGATGGGGGCGCACCAGAGATCTGTAGAGTTGAATAACCACTTTTTTTTCCTTGAAGTCAAAAGTTTATTAGACTGTTCCAGGGGGGGGGGTTCGCTGGCCCTTTTTATTTTGTACTGCAGCTCCCACTTGTGCAACTTTCAGTGAATGATTAATCATACTCCTAGGTCATTTTCTTCTTCAATTTGCAGCATGGTAGTGTTGAGGAGTTAATAGTTGTGATGTATTTTGCTATGCCTTATATACAAGGATTGTATTTTCCATATTAAAGAGCATTTACTAGTCTTCCGACCATTTATGGAGTTTATGTATATCTCTTTATGAGGTCTTAATATAATTTTCGCTTCTTACTTTTCCATAGATCTTAATGTCATCTGCGAATTTGATAATGTAGTTTGTAATAATCTCATTTATATCATTTGACAAATAGGGATGACCCTAAGATGGAACCTTGCGGTACCCCAACTATTACATTTCTGCAGGGAGATTAGTTTCCATTTTTTTTTAAGATGACCTCTGCTCTCCCTGTTTTAACCATTGTTAAATCCATTCTAGTATTTTAACCTTTATTCCATGAGCTTGTAATCTCCTTACCAGTCTCTCGTGCGATACCTTATAAAAAGCTTGAGAAAAGTCCCTGTATAGTATGTCTACTGCTGGAAGTCCTTTGTTTGAATAACCGGTAACCGTCTCAAGACATGTGAGTAGGTTACTAATGCAGGATTTATTTTTAACTAAACGACTTTGCGTTGATTTTACTTGGTTTTTGGTTGAGAAGGTGAATGATTCCCTCCCATAGGATTCTCCCCATAAGGTTACAGATATGTGAGGTAAGGCTGATCCTGTGAGCTTGTAGTAATAGTACATTTGTATTCTAGTATCATTACTTGATACAGGTCATAAATTCAAATAATTTCCTAACGCAGAGTAGTTTTGAACAGCTGCTTTCCAACCAAGCGGAACAACCCCTCCCCCACAAAGTGGATCCACCTTCACCAAGTGGAACTTTCCCCACCAAATGGAGCCACTCCACCAGGTGAAACAACCCCATCAAGAGAAGCAGCCCTCACCAAGTGGAACCACCCCATTAAGAGAAATCACCGTCATGAAGTGAACCACCTCCACGAATTGGACCTACCCGCCCAGCCAAGTGGAGCCACCCCAGCCAAGTGGAGCTACCCAAGCAAAGTGGAGCCACCCAAGCAAAGTGGAGCCACCCCAGCCAAGTGGAGCCACCCCGGCCAAGTGGAGCCACCCCAGCCAAGTGGAGCCACCCCAGCCAAGTGGAGCCACCCTAGCCAAGTGGAGCCACCCCAGCCAAGTGGAGCCACCCAAGCAAAGTGGAGCCACCCCAGCCAAGTGGAGCCACCCCAGCCAAGTGGAGCCACCCCGGCCAAGTGGAGCCACCCCGGCCAAGTGGAGCCACCCCGGCCAAGTAGAGGAGTGTGTCCCACCTGGCCCACCACTTGGCCCACCGCCTGAACTGTGCTGCCTCACCTTCCTCTGCCACATAACTCTCCAATACCAACTTCACAGATATCTAACAGATCCAGGAGTTGTCTTGGCTGCCTCGTGCCTACCTGGTGTGGGTGGTGGGCCTCGACAACTGTCCTCCAGTACACTGCACATAACATTTCAAGCCCAAGTGCGTATCCTCACCTACGCTCTGCTGGGATCACAGGACTCATTAACTCGGCAAAATATTCCTCGAATCTCTTGATATGGATGTCAGGTATGTCAAGCCTATTTATGTATTATTATCTAGGCGATTGTGCCTCAATTTCCATTCAAATGAAGATTGATGTTCTGGTGAAGATAGCTATAAAGATGAATCGTCCTCTGGAACCCCTCCCCCCCCCCTTCGATATTCTCACATGATTCTCAATTGGAATTAGCAAATCGTGAGAACTCTGATTTTGAAGTCGTTCAGCTTGTCAACATCCGGCCGCCGTTTCATCCGGGGCCGGACTGTCAGGTCACCGCCCCCCCCCCCTGATCATCCACAATTATGTTTCCTATGAAACATGTCCACTTATTTCGTCCCTCGTACTATTTCTCTCTGCCTGTGAAGGCAAGCTGTGATACTCCTATATAATGATCAATTCCTATGTAATGTCGATCATGTACTTTTGTTATAAATTATACTCGTCATTGTTGGGTCAGGATATTAATCGTTTTAGTCCGTGGCATTATACTTTCAGCTCCGGCAAACTACGACGTCGTCTGTTTGATTGATGGAGGTTTGTGTGGCCGTGGGAAGCTTCTCTAGCTTGGTGGCCTCTCGTGGCCTCAGTGGTAAGGACTCTGTACTCTACCGTGCTCTTGATTACACGGGCCTCTACGAGCTACAGGGGTACTCTTAGACTACACTGTACTCTAGGACTAAGACTAAAAAGTATGTTGGGGGTAGATTAACAAGTACTCCAGACAACAAGGGTACTCTTGGACTTGTCTTTAGGGTACTTTAGAGTACACATTACTGTAGACTGTGTCCCGCAGACAGTGTGCTCAACATGTACACTGTCCTCTCTGACAGTATCCTCCAGACACTGTACCCTCAGACACTGTACCCCCCAGACACTGTACCCCCAGACACTGTGCCCTCAGACACTGTACCCTCAGACACTGTACCCCCCAGACACTGTACCTTCAGACACTGTACCCCCAGACACTGTGCCCTCAGACACTGTACCCTCAGACACTGTACCTTCAGACACTGTACCCCCAGACACTGTACCCCCAGACACTGTACCCTCAGACACTGTATCCTCAGACACTGTACCCCCAGACACTGTACCCTCAGACACTGTACCCTCAGACACTGTACCCTCAGACACTGTGCCCTCAGACACTGTACCCTCAGACACTGTACCCCCAGACACTGTACCCTCAGACACTGTGCCCTCAGACACTGTACCCTCAGACACTGTACCCCCAGACACTGTACCCTCAGACACTGTGCCCTCAGACACTGTACCCTCAGACACTGTACCTTCAGACACTGTACCCTCAGACACCGTACCCCCAGACACCGTACCCCCAGACACTGTACCCCCAGACACTGTACCCCCAGACACTGTACCTCAGACACTCTACCCCCAGACACTGTACCCTCAGACACTGTACCCCCAGACACTGTACCCTCAGACACCGTACCCCCAGACACTGTACCCCAGACACCGTACCCCCAGACACCGTACCCCCAGACACTGTACCCCCAGACACTCTACCCTCAGAAACTGTACCCTCAGACAGGGGGGGGGGGCCCCATCACCACCTAGTCCCCCCCCCTATTACCACTAACACCTCCGTGTCCATTATTAACGATGCTTTTAAAAAGGACTGTTTTGTTGCAGTTGGAAGTGCCGGAAGGGCCAAGTGGTGTTCTCCTCCAACATACTCCAACTTGCACAAGTTGCAAAAAGCGTTCTTGATGTTCTGCAAGTCCTCGCGAATTATTTAAGCTACAAGAAAATTGACTTAGTTCCTGACTCCCTGTTAACGAGGACATGTTATTGTTTGGGTATTGACACGTAGGGTTAGTCTGCGTGGTTCACTGTCCTCGTTTGGTGTCTCGTTGCTCCTCGTTCGTCCTCATCCGTCCTCGCCAGTCCTCGTCCGTCCTCGCCCGTCCTCGCCCGTCCTCGTCCGTCCTCGTCCGTTCTTGTCTCTTCAGTATGTCAGGAAAGGATTGATTATTTAGCCAAATATTTATTGTTTAAATGACCAGTTGGAGATCAGGGGGGGGGGGAGTGTGGAGGGGTGTGGAGGTGTGGTGTGGAGGTGTGGTGGGGAGGTGGGTGTAGTGGCGTGGTGCTTGGTGTGGAGTGGGGGTGTTGTATTCACTGAGTTGTATTCATCTAGTTGTGCTTGCGGGGGTTGGGCTCTACTCTTTGAGCTTCTCAACTGTCAATAAATCATCAGTTACTAACTACTACCTAATTTTTGTTTTCACCAACACACACCTAGGAAGCACCCCGTAAAAGCTGTCTAACACCAAGTACCTGTTTACTGCTAGGTAACAGGTGCGTCAGGGTGAAAGAAACTCTGCCTATTTTGTTTCTGCCATTACCGGGTGGAACGAACCCGGAACCTAGGATTACGAGTCCAGAGCGCTGACTACTCAACTATCAGGCCCCCCATATAGTTGTGGTATTGGGGTTGTGGGAGAGTGGTGAAGTGTGGGGCGGGGGGGGGGGGGTGAAGGTGTCACTGTGGACAGCTGTCACAGCCATCACTTGTCACAGATGAGCAGCTTCCCATGAGCAGGTGTTTGTACAAGTGCTGTTGACTGTGCACCTGTCGAGTCACTGCAGCAACATCGTTTTCCTGCGATGCTTGTTCAACCAACCTGTTATGTCCAGTTTCCGGCATGAAGATTTCACATTATCCCTCATGTTCATTTCAGATAAAAAAAAGATAAACAAATTTAACACATTTTATAAGCATCTTATATATATATATATATATATATATATATATATATATATATATATATATATATATATATATATATATATATATATATATAAAGATAATGTTGGGACTGGTCTTGAGCCGTGAGCCTGGAGTGAGGATGACGCGCGCGTCACTCCCGCGCTGTAAGGGTTGACGGATGCAAAATTAATTTCCAGCGGAGCGACTTGCGACATGGTGGCATTTTCCAGGATTTCGAGCGGGGGCGGCGGTAGGGTTGGATGGCTGGTGGAGGCTTCCTATCACCCGACCCAGCGCCCTGTTAGCAGATAAACTGGATTTCCAACGCCTGGGAGGAAAATGGTGTTTGTTGTGATAAGTTTGGTAGTCGAAGTGTTTGTTTGGTGGTTGATGCGTTTGTGGCAGCTCGCTTTACTGCATACAAACATTGACGGTATGGCTAAGATGACGCTGGTTAAGCACAGCACAACGTATCCATTACCTACAACTATATTGCTTTTGAATTTGCTAATTCGAGAAGATAACTTTGGCCTTTGTGTACTCTTAATTACAGCTTTGATTATTTCAGTTGGTCTTGAATCTAATGTATACATGTTTACCTATTTCTAATTACTTTTTTGTGTTTGCAGAGTCTGAGTTGCAGGTTATGGACCGCGCTTCTCAACCTTCAGTAAACTAGATAAGTTAATCCTTTAGGCTCTGGGTTCTCTTGTACCCATTTTTGAATCCATGTATATAAATCACCGCCACTGTCGTGTTCTATAGATGTATATATATTATAAATATTCTAAAGGCACCTCCTCTGGCTGGCAGGAGGACCCATAGCATCGGAGAAAAGCACACACAATGCATTAATTCATTGTTATATCATGTAATTCGTATCAAATTCTGTTGTTCTACCCCACCTTGGAATAGTGGTTCATATTTGCCAGTTTTAGTACCATTTCCTGGTATTATAAGATGATAGAGAGAGAGAGAGAGAGAGAGAGAGAGAGAGAGAGAGAGAGAGAGAGAGAGAGAGAGAGAGAGAGAGAGAGAGAGAGAGAGAGAGAGAGAGAGAGAGAGAGAGAGAGAGAGAGAGGGGGGGGGGGGAGGGAGACAGAGAAAGAGAGTTAAGCAAACGAACACTTATGAACCTGTCATAAGAGATACTCTGTTCGGGGTTGGATGAGTCTTGTTTGTGGGAGGGAGGTGGGAGTGGGCGGGGGCTGTGGGAGTGGGCGGGGGCTGGGATGGGTCTGGGGAAAGAGTATGAGTTAGGAGAGAAGGAGGAGAGAAAGGAGTCAAGAAAGGACGGAAAAGAGAGCTCTGGAGGAAGGGGAATGTGGGGGCGGGACAGGAGGTTAAATGGATGGTTTGGGACGGGGTGGAAAAGGGGCAGACATTTCTTATAGTTTCGTTCTCTCTTCCTTTACACACACTCTTTCTCTCTCTCTCTCTCTCTCTCTCTCTCTCTCTCTCTCTCTCTCTCTCTCTCTCTCTCTCTCTCTCTCTCTCTCTCTCTCTCTCTCTCTCTCTCTCTCTCTCTCACTCACACACACACACACACACACACATTCCCCCTCTCCTGCACAATCCACTTCTAATGAAGCAAGAAATCCCTTCTGTGTTTTGATTACCGCATTAACCATCAAAATTGATTAATTTCCTTCCATGATAAAGCCAAGGGAGTGAACCCATCACACATAAAGCCCCACAACCACCCGAAAACATTCTTTAAAAAAAAATAAGAATTTGTACCATAGATAGTGGAAAGAAAGTCAGTTTTGGGGAGGTTCTCAATGCAGGCGTAGATTACCTGTCAGTCCTGCCGCCGCGGTGACGCTCTCTTGATTATTTTGCTTCCCTTAAAAGCTTCTAGACAGCATTTTGCGATGAAGAGAAAATCTGAAAAGGATCCCAAGTAACTTGACTTGGGAGTTAGGTGATGTTAGGGAAGGGAGGTGGTGATGGTGATGGTGAGGAGGAGAGGGTGATGGTGAGGTTGGAGGACGGTGGAGGTTGTGCTGGTGAGGAAGGGGGGGGGGGGATGATGGTGAGGTTGGAGGAGGAGGTGATGGTGTTGGGGAGGGTGATGTAGAGCCAGCAGCCTCCCCACCCCCCCCCCCCACACACAAAACATCCCCAACACCACCCACCGGGCCACATCCCCTGGGTGGGGGTGGGTGGGGGGTGATGTGATGTGCTCGGTAACTTGTCATTTTAAAACTGTCAGCCATTCACAGGTAAGAAATTGACTCCATCTTAACTTATAGTCTTCCACTTCTCCTGGGATATTTATACTCAATCCATCACACACTCACCATGTGTGTTCATCTCCCTCACACACTCACCATGTGTGTTCATCTCCCTCACACACTCACCATGTCTGTTCATCTCCCTCACACATTCACCATGTCTGTTCATCTCCCTCACACACTCACCATGTCTGTTCATCTCCCTCACACACTCACCATGTCTGTTCATCTCCCTCACACACTCACCATGTGTGTTCATCTCCCTCACACACTCACCATGTGTGTTCATCTCCCTCACACACTCACCATGTGTGTTCATCTCCCTCACACACTCACCATGTGTGTTCATCTCCCTCACACACTCACCATGTGTGTTCATCTCCCTCACACACTCACCATGTCTGTTCATCTCCCTCACACACTCACCATGTCTGTTCATCTCCCTCACACACTCACCATGTCTGTTCATCTCCCTCACACACTCACCATGTCTGTTCATCTCCCTCACACACTCACCATGTGTGTTCATCTCCCTCACACACTCACCATGGCTGTTCATCTCCCTCACACACTCACGAGAAAGTACTCACTGCCTCAGAGTAGTTTTCATTCAACTAACTGCTCCATTCCTACTGTCATCCGGCTCTTTAAATGCTTACTCATATTCATCTTTTCATTCATAACCTCTCTTAAGAAATAGTGAAAAACACACAAATATTCTAATCAAATTGACCAGATCTTTGTTGTTGACACACCTGAGGGGGGGAGGGGGCATGGGGGGGGGGCAGGGGGGGGGGCAGGGGGGGGCAGGGGGGGGCAGGGGGGCAGGAGGGGGATGCTACGAGCATCGAACTGGCGACGGGAATGTTGTGAAGTGTACCTTTCACGGACCTGGGACATGAGGCCAAGGAGCTGGGATATGAGACCAAGGTGCTGGGATATGAGACCAAGGTGCTGGGATATGAGACCAAGGAGCTGGGATATGAGACCAAGAAGCTAGGATATGAGACCAAGGAGCTGGGATATGAGACCAAGGTGCTGGGATATGAGACCAAGGAGCTGGGATATGAGACCAAGAAGCTAGGATATGAGACCAAGGAGCTGGGATATGAGACCAAGAAGCTGGGATATGAGCCCAAGGAGCTGGGATATAATGACGGGGAGTGAAGGAACGATGCACACCCCCCCCCCACAACACTTGGACAACAACCTCAACATAACCGCCTCAAGAAGAAGAAGAAGAAGAAGAAGAAGATAACCCCATCAATAACACCCTAGTCATTACCCCCTGACGATCACCTGTTTGATCGTTAAGAAGGATGACATTTCCCCCCCCCCCCTCCCTCCCCGAGGAGTCAGTAGTGGAGTTCCACTTGTTGTACAACGTGTTAAATACTGAAAAAATACAAAATAATAATCAGCAATAATTCACTACACCCACACGCGCTCTCGACAACACAATTCGAGAGTCTCGCACTGTGATAACGGTGATTAGGAAACAATTTGAGTAAAATAGTGGTTTTAAATTATCCTGTCAAAAGGAATAAGAATTCATAGCTCTGGGATTAAAAGGAGACGGGTAAGGGTGCGTAAATCATAAGCCAATTACCCAGGATTGTGTTCACAGGACATTACGGGTGAAAATTCTCTGTATTCTTATGGTAATTTTGTCCATGTTTGTGCCATGGCTTACGTGACTGGCGTGTTATCTACATTTATTATACATATATATATATATATATATATATATATATATATATATATATATATATATATATATATATATATATATATATGTGTGTGTGTGTGTGTGTGTGTGTGTGGGGGAAAAATAGCTGATATATATGCTCAGCGCCGCAACATCAGACAAGGAGAAAGCCCGTCTCAGAGCAGTGAGTGCCCCCCATGCAGGAGACTTCCTCCTGGCAGTACCCATATAAGCAATGGGCACGCGTCTAGATCTAGAATCCCTTCGTGTAGCAGTGGCCCTCCGCCTTGGTGCCCCAATTCACACTGAATACAAGTGTATTTGCCAAAGGGTGGAAGCAGACCAATATGGACTGCATGGGTTGCATTGTGGAAGCACAAAGGGCTGGCATGCAAGACACAAAGAGGTCAATGACATCATCAAGAGAAGCCTTGTCTCAGCTCAATGCCCAGCGGAAGAGAGCCTCGCATCCTAGGGGTCCAAAACCCGGATTTAACCACACTTCGCCCTGATGGCATCACCATATACTCATGGAAGGGCGGTAGACAGTTGGTGTGGGACTACACATGTGTATCCATCCTGGCTGACACCTATGTACACCTTGGAGCTGATCAAGCAGGTGGGGCGGCCAACCACAGGGAAATAGCAAAATCAGCCAAATACAGGCGTCTGGAAGCTCGATACACCTTTGTTCCCATAGCGTCTGAGACGCATGGCCCCTGGGGTAAGAGTGCCTTGGGATTTCTCAAGGAATTGGGCTCCAAGCTCACTGACGTCACCAGAGACCCCAAGAGCTGCCAGTTTTCTGTTTCAGCGCCTCAGTGTGTAAATCCAGAGGGGAAACTCCTGCTGCATCCTCGGTTCCTGTCCGGAAGCGGAGGAGCTTAAAGAGATCCATAACCTTTAAGCACTATTTGTATCAACCAATGTATATCTTGTAACCTTTAAATATATAATAAAGCAAAAAAAAAATAAAAAGGAAGGGGTGGTAGGAGAAAAGCACACAGAAACTGTATTGGAGGGGACTTAAACATTCCTTCTAATGCGTTATGTGTGGTTACCTCCGAGGCTAAGGGTCCCCTTCTTCCAGCCAGAGGTGGTACTCCCTTCCCTATGTTTATATATATATATATATATATATATATATATATATATATATATATATATATATATATATATATATATATATATATTTATATACTGTATAAATGACAAAACACGAAACAATGGGTCTAAATTGGATACTAGAACATAAGAATGGAAGTAACTGCAGAGAGCCTATTGGCCCATACTTCTTCTTGATGCTTCTATATTGGTTCGGAGTCTTGAAGTAGGTAGAATATAGTTGTGCATTAATTGGCTGTTGATTGCTGGTGTTGACTTTTTGATGTGTAGTGCCTCGCAGATGTCGAGCCTCCTGCTATCGCTGTATCTATCGATGATTTCTGTAAGTTAATTGTTTGTTAAGATTTCTCTGGTGATGGTCTGGTTGTGAGATGAGATTATATGTTCCTTGATGGAGCCCTGTTGGACGTAGAATCACTGTTTATCAACGTACCTGTGGATGAAACAATCGGGATGATAGCAGACAGAGTGTATCGTGATCCGGCTTGTACTCCTCTTGACATACCAGAAAACATACTTAGGAAACTACTCCAAGCTTGTACTAAAGAGGCACCCTTCCTGAGTCCAGATCGGCACATGTATAAGCAAGTAGATGGGGTC